ATTGGCATTCAAGACATACAACTCGTCTATAAATTATTGAAATTCAGTAAAATTATTATTAAAATCGCAGAAATATCTATTCATATATCAAAGTATTTGTTTTTAACATGTATTTCATTTATATTTGTCTTCAAAGGGATGGATATATTGATTTCAATTCCGCACTCAATTGTATTTACTTATATCACAATTAATATATTTACCATAATATTGTTTCAATTAATATATTATACAATTATTGTTACATATTTATCGTTAAAACTAAGTTCATAAATAAAATTTTATCAAAACATAAAAATAATCATAATCTACTGGAATTAATATTAAAATACAATATAATATTTCTGGAAATTATTGAATATAATAATAATATTTGGTCAAAAATATTGGACTTATTCTACATATTAGCATCATGTTTAATATCATTCCTTGTTTTTATTTCAATATACATTCAAATAATATATGTTGTCAAAATAATTATTTTATTTTATGCAATAGTATTATTTATAATGTTATTATTACTTATACATTATTCATCAATATTATACAATCAAACGAGAATAACGTATAACTTATTTAACAGTTTGATTTTTAAAATAAAAATTAATAATCTGTGTCATAAAATTAAGGTTAGTTTTGATTTACTATTATTAATATATCAAATTATACATGTATTCGCTAAATTAAATAACAATTATATTCCTATAAATTAATAGTTTTATATATTAATAGTTAATGACATTTACGGAGCGTTTGGGTGGGAATAGAGTTGGCTTTTATTGTTGGAAATTATTTATTATTAATAGATTTCAAGGATTTAAGGTTTGTATTATATAAATAAATTTCTAATAAATTTTAAGTTATTATATTATGTTAATTTAAATTTCAGATAATATGCTTTATAGCAATACTTTTTATTAAACTTATCAAAAATCATAATAAATATTAGTATTATTCCAACGATTGAATCTCAAACAAACAAACCATGTGCTTATTACTGAAAATTTATTTAATAAATGTTATTTTCTCATAACAAATTTTTTAAACAGAAATACACAGATTCCTATAATGACAGATCCGATTGCTACCCTTATTATATTGACATGAATATTATCTGTTTCAACCATGGTGTTTGTACTCCAACCCGTGCCATACTTCCATTGTGTACAATACCACTCGCAGTTATATTCCTAAGTCAGAGAGAGAGAGAGAGAGAGAGAGAGAGAGAGAGAGAGAACTCATTATTAAACACATTATTTAATAAAATTTTTAATAATTACCCCAGGTGAATAATTAACCATCTTATCTCTCAAAGCCCACAACGTGTCAAATATAAGTTTGAGGTCCACTTCAGTCAACTGCCTTCTCTGTGCCTCTATTTTCTGGTTGTTTACGCGACACAAATCGTATACGGGTTTGCTGTCCGACCCCTCCCTCGCCCTCCCTTTACGTAATATATGTCGCAACGTCTCGTGTTTAATCCACGCCAACGACTGGTCCTGATTGGGCTCCACGTGATAGCACCGCACTATACCTGTGCCGCGCGACACACTCTCGCACATAACCCAGTGTTTGTGGTCTTTGCGACTAATCTCGATCATTGCGCCCGCTTTTAGCTCCGCGTCGACAATGATCTCGTTGTAATGTTTGAATGGCATCGGACACATTATTAATTAACCTTGTTGACCTTGTTTGTTTAAATTTATAGTTGCATTTAAAACATTATTTGCATAATATTAATTATTATTTAAATAAAATTTATATAATTAAAACACTAGATGAATTATATTAAAACCATGTGAAACACATAATATAATTTTATAGTAACCTTATATGAATTTATATTTAGTATGCTAAGTTAACTTACATAATTATAAAACAAAATGAGCACATTCAATTGAATGCAATGTGATAAATAAAGCATTGATTTGAAGTTAAATAACTTTTTGTCCCGAAAGCGGAGAACCTACTGAAAGTTTGGGGACACACGATATACCCCTTTTGGGGTATTTTAAGAGAATTGTATTTCACCTTTTTAGCACCTTTTGGGACGTTGTCACCTTTAGTAACTTTTTAGTTACTTTTCACCTATTTTGCAAATTTTATACCAAATTAATGGATATTTTGATCGATTTGCAGAAATTATTCAACAATTTGATAGCGAAGAATCAGAATTTTATAGATGAATTGAATGAATTGGTTGTGGATATTAATGTTACAAATTAATTTGCATTCATTTATGCTAATTTAGATTAAGTAGATAAAGTATTTTGTGATATAATTTAATTTAAAAAATTGATGTGATATTAACCTTATAATGTACTATTTTAATGCAAAATAACTAACTTTTTCTTAACTTTTTACCACCTTATTATCACCTTTTCAGCCATTTTTAAGCAACTTTTTAAGTACCTAAAACACTTTTTTAGTCACCTAAGAATCAATGCTTTAAATATAAACTAATATTTTATAATGTAATATGTAATATTCTCACCTACATTAATTTGTGCTTATTATAATAATAAAACAAACAAACGCACCTGGTCGATCTCACATTAATTTCATAAGTTAAGTGAAATGAATTAACAGTTAAGATAAACAATCAATCGATATGGTAAGTGTTTTCTACATATCTACCAAGATAACAAAAGGTATGAAATAACTGTTATACTAAACAGCATTAATTAAAACAACACTAACAGTTAAGCAGAGACTTATATAAGCAGCAAACATTTATCATTAGAAAAACATAAAGTTGAACCAGTTAAATTTAACAATATATAAACATGAATAAATATACTGTAGCCGGTTTGGTAGTGTTGAGCATGGTGATTTGCTGCACGGCCCAAACACTAGACCCTAAACTCAAAACCTTAACACTCAGTCAAACGAAAAAAGACAACAATTTGGTATTGGTTTGCGATCTATCGCTCGAGAAAAATCAAGATTTGGCCGGTGTTTACATGCGATACAAAGACCAGTGGTATTACGGGGTAAACATCGGAAACATGAGTATGTATTACAAGTAAAAATTTTTATTAAACAATACTTTATATATAATTTAAACAATAGGAGAGCGTTACAGACCCGAGATAATAGCCAGCGATCGGCTAATAGACCGGACGCCACCCCTCTATGACAGGACCAGTAAATACGGTCGCATCCGAAATGTCATAACCGGCGCCACAGAGTCCGACGATTACGACTGTTGGGTGACATTCAGTGTCAGTGGTATAACTTTCTACCAGTCCTCCCGAGAGGTTATCACCGATCGCCGTATGTTTTTCTCATTATTATTTAACTACTAATCCAATTCATATTAACCATAATCTAATCTAATATTAATTATAAATTATTAGGATTTGTGAAGACAGCCATCTATGACAACAATGTATTGAGCAGTCGTTACCGCATCGGAGATAACGTTAGCATTCATTGCGATTATCAGATGCAAAACAAAGATATCTTCAGGGATATCACTGTCAGCAAAGATGGCAACCAATTCTTCAGATACCTTTCACACAATAATGGTAACATTTATAACAATTCATTGTTATACAGTATAATCATTAAATTAAATATTTACTAATTTTATAAATTGTATATTTAGTGAAATTCACGCCTCAGAAGGGCGTAGAAAATATACAAATGGATGCGGACAACAATAAACAGCTCTATCTTACCATCAATCCGGTTGATAAAGCAAATGTGAATACTGGGGGCCAGTACGAGTGCAAGGTCAATTTTATTAACCCCGATGATGTGGAAGATCACATAGAGACTCAGCAGTCACTTAATCGCATCAGTTTTTGAGAGTTTTATTTAAAACTATATTATATTTTAAGATTCAATGTTTGCAAAAGTTATATAAATATAGATTGAAATATTGTATAAAACAATAAATACTAATTATACTTAAATGAACTGTACTAAATTTATTTTATTTAAACTAGTCAATTGATGTAACTCAAATGTCGGGAGAATCAGGACTTTGCCATAAATTTCTATCATGATCATATTATACAGTAAATTAATTTAAAACTCATATTCATATTTAAAAAGTATTAATTTCTTAAAACTTTCATATGTGTTTTACAATAATCTAATATTCTTTTAAAATACTGTAAGAGAGGTTATTTTAGCATTATAAGTATAGGAAATCCAACAAAATATATTGAATATTTCAATTGAGTTTCTTAACAGGAGGGGTACCCCCAAGAAAAGTTGCCCCAAGAGAGGTTGCACTGTATTTATTGCGTGAAACAGTTTAAATGCAACCTGCTCGTATTATCATTATGTTTTCCAAGAAAACCAATGTTATATATCATACAATGTCTTAACAAACAAGCAACTTGATTACATTAAATTAAGCCAATTTCAAACACATCTGATATGGTAAGTGTTTTCTATTTATCTACCTAGATAACAAAAGTTGCACACACAAAAAACAGCTCTATTAAAACAGCAAAAATAGTATATAAACAGCAAACAATAATCATTACAATAAAACATATAAAATTAAACCAATTCAACTTAACACCAAATTAAACATGAATAAATTCATTGTAACATCTTTACTAGTGTTGAGCATGGTGATTTGCTGCACATCGCAAGCACTAGACTATAAACTCAAAACTTTAACACTCAGTCAAACGATAAACAGAGACAACAATTTGGTATTAAATTGTGATTTAGGGCTCGAGAGTAATGAAGAGTTGGTCGGCGTTAACATGCAATACAAAGACCAGTGGTATTACGGGGTAGACATCGGAAACATGAGTATGTATTACATAAAGAAATTTTAATCAAACAATACTTTACAACTATATGAATGACAGCTGAGCGTTACGACCCTAATGTGATTGCCAGCGATCGGCTAATAGACCGGACGCCACCCCTCTATGACAGGACCAGTAAATACGGTCACATCCGAAATGTCATAACCGGCGCCACAGAGTCCGACGATTACGACTGTTTCGTGACATTCAGAGTCAGTGGTTTGACTTTCACACAGTCTTCCCGAGAGGTTATAGTCAATCGCCGTATGTTTTTTCACTACAATAATAATACAATTTATTATTACCATAATTTATTTAATTATCACTATTTAGGATCTGTTGACACAACCATCTATGACAACAATGTGGTGAGCAGTCTCTACCGCATTGGCGATACGGTTAGCATTCATTGCGATTATCAGCTGAAAACCACTGACACCTTCAGGGATATCAGTGTCAGCAGAAATGGCAAACCATTTTATCGATACCTATCCCACACTAATGGTAACATTAATAACAATTCAATATTACATAATCATTGTATTCAATATACACTATCTCTATATTTCGCATTTAATTGTATATTTAGTGCGATTCACGCCTCAGAAGGGCGTAGAAAATATCAAGATGAATTTGGACAGCAATAAGCAGCTCTATCTTACCATCAATCCGGTCGATAAGGCAAATGTGAATACGGAGGGACAATATGAGTGCAAGGTCAATTATATTAACCCCGATGGTGACGATGATCATATAGAGATCCTACGCCCACTCAATCGCATCAGTATTGGAGAGTTTTATTAAAAACTAATGAAGTATATATTTTTTAAGACTCAATGTTTGTAAAAGTTATATAAATATGAATTGAAATATTGTAAACATAAAAACTATAATTATACTTAAATAAACTATTCTATTTACCTTAATCTGACTAAAATAACCTAAAATTTAGGACATCTCCATAAATTTCAACCATGTTTGTATTCTAATTTAATTCAAAGCAAGTTCCAATTGCATTAATTCCATAACACTGTTACATGTTATTAAAATTATTCTAATATTTTATTTCAATTTTGTTTTAAACCTTATTAATAAATAAGTTTCATTAAAAACAATTTCACTCAATTTGCATATAGTATATTTACTTCCATTTGAATTAGAGTCTAGTGACTAGAGTGACAACATTTCATAAAATTTAATTGTCTTTCTCGTACCGATTCCATTGGACCCCCGATAGGGTTCATCACAGGAATCCACGTAAATCAGATTAGTTTCTAACAAAAATATCTGTTCATAGATTACAATTATACCACTTGGTATACTTGTTACATGTTGATAACATTTATGGCAACACGTAGTGTTGACTAGTTTAAATGCAACCTGTTCAAATTCTTATCAAGTTTCTACCAGGAAACCCAATGTAAAATATCTTTAAATGCACCAACAAACAAGCATCTAGATTACTGGACATTACGAACATTACAAACACACTGTTTAATTTGAATGTAACATTTTTAGTAGAACAATACTATATAAGATAGTAAATTAATTTCACTTTTAATAAAAACTATTATTAATTTAATTAGAAATAATTCAAAACTTTAAAAATGATTGGTTATATAGTATTAATAATTTGTACGTTTGGTGTATTACCTGGATCTTTGTGTCAATCCAAAGCCTGTGTTCCCGTCAAATCTTTAAAACTCGAGCCATACAAGAGAGACAATGATTTGGTACTAAACTGTGATTTTCAATTCGAGTCATACCAGAGATGGGATACCGTTTATATGCGATACAAAAACGACTACTATTATGCTGTAGACGCCGCCACTCTAAGTATACAACCTTTATATTCATAATTAATATAAATTAATATTAGTTAATATTAATTAATGCAAACTATAATGAATACAGAGGAGCGTTACAACAATACGGTGATAGACAGCACCAGGGTAATTGATCGGGTGCCCCCACTATATAACTCGACTGTTAAATACGGACACATTCGCAACGTCTTATCGGACACATTACCATCTGATGACTTTGATTGTTACATCACTTGGTATGACGGAATCGGCACTTACTGTACGCAATCGTCACGAAAGGTGCCTGATCAAAGTAAGTTTTATATCATTAAAAACATGATCATTTAATTGTGACTTATTTATTATAACTTACTTACGCTTATAGGGTCTATAAAGACCTCGATTCTGGTAAACAATGTATTGAGTAATCAGTACAGTGCCGGCGATGACGTTAAAATCCATTGCGATTATCAATTGCAACCTAAAGACACATTCGTCGACCTCCAGGCCATTAAAGACGACCATAGGTTCTACAGGTATATCAATAAAGAAAGGGGTAATGTTTATATTTATATCATCATCAGTTTTACATGTATAATTTTCATGATTTATTATTCACCATATACTTGATTTATTACCACAATTAGTATTCTTTACGCCACAAACTGGTATTGAAAACATCAAAGTAGATGCCAATACTAACCAACGATTATGGCTAACCATTAACCCAATCAATAGGGCAAACGATTACACTGGCGGTCAGTATAAGTGTCAAGTTAATTATGTAAAACCGGATGGTGGGGATGCTAAGATTGAGCATTTTGTACAACTTTCACTCGTCTAATTAAAAGCAAATCAATGTTTGTAAAACAAAATTAAAATAAAGTCTATAACATTTGATTTTGTTTCAACAATTTTTACCAATATCAAATTACTTTTAACTATTTCTCTATTGATAAAGTGATGAATTAAATAATAAATATACTAATTATGTAATCAATACATAACTATTGTATACTGTTATAGACTAATGTGTATAACAATCGGCAAACAATTGCACAGAAAATCCAAAACAGTGTCTAATAATTAAAAAGAAAATTATCATTTATTAATTAATATAAAAAAAGCGAACATTTGTTTAGTGAATATATCAACATATATATTAAATGTAAGGATGGGGGCAATAATACATATGTATAATACATGTGTATTATTCCATGTATTATTCATGTATTATACATGGCAAAATTTGCCATACATACAACATGGCGTCAAATATTGACATTATTTGCTAAA